AAAGGGACAGCCAGTCCAGAAAGGCCTGAATTAATACAGAGAAAAAAAGGAAGTCTCTTAATTTGGACTAGACATGTTCCAGGGACACCTAGACTAGAAGACTTAGACAAAGATTGGTTGGAATCCTTTAGCACTGTGACCTTGGACTAGAGTCCAGCAGCACCCAGACCAGGATAGCATTGCTCAGACTGGGACTCTGATCTGAAATGCACCAAAGGGCCCTGAAAATCTAGCTCTGAAGCCCTACGATCCAAGGTGGCCTGAAACCTACCAACAATCTGAGGATAGACACATGTATGAAAGCTGGTAGCAAGAACCCATGTAATCAATATCAGAACCAAACTAGGCCCAACCACTCCACCAAAGAGAGCAGCAGGGGAAAAAGCCTGGCCTTGACGTGACATTCCAATTCAGTAACTTAGGTAGGAGATGAATAAACAGGAGACATCAATCCTGATAAAAGAATATTAGGCATCTAAAGATGTCCAGGACTGCAATCCAGAAGAAGAGATTAACTCCATAATAATGGTAAGCAGAGTCTCAGAAAAAGAAATGTCTTAATCAGAAGGACTTCAAGAATACCTGGAAGATAGGAGCAGCTAGGTGGCACAATGGATAGAGCACTGGCCCTGGAGTCAGGAGGACCTGAGTTCAAATCCAGCCTCAAACACTTGACACTTACTAGCAGTGTGACCCTGAGCAAGTCACTTAACCCCAATTACCTCACCAAAAAAAAAAAAAAAATACCTGGAAGAAATAAATGAAAAGACAAAAAATTAAAGAGCACTGGAAGAAAAAAATAAGTAGACTATATAGCCTAGAACAGAATGTAGTAAATCTTTACTCATGTAATAGACTCCCTATAAATTAAATGGACCAAACAGTTCTACTAGATAACAAGACACTTTAGAACAAAAAAAAAGGACTTGAAAAAATAGAAGAAAATGTAAGGTACCTAAAATAAAAAATAACTGGCCTAGAAAACAGAATAAGGAGAGAGAATATAAGAATCGTTGGGCTCCCTGAAAACCATGAGTCAGCAAGGTGGGGGCATAAATAGAGCACTGGACCTGGAGTCAGGAAGATCTTAGTTCAAATCCCGCCTCAGACATTTACTTGCTTTATAAACCTGGGCAAGTCACAATTCTGTCTGCCTCAGTTTCCTCATCTATAAAATGGGGGTAATATTCCAGGTTTGTTTGTGAAAATAAAATGATATAATATTTGTAAAGCACTTTGCAAACCTTTAAGTACTGCTATATAGATGCTAGCTATTATCATTTTGACTACCCCCCCCAAAAAAAGGCCATTTCCTTATTTCAGGAAAAAGTACCAGTGGAAAATATTATAGCGTTCTTGCCTCTTTCAGTTGTGTATGAGGTTTCCTACGGACTTTTTGTTTCTTTTAAGTTTTTATTTATATTTTGCTTTTTACATCTTTATTTCCCAATATATCCCTCTTCTTTGCAGTGTAACTTGTTATAACTCCAGATATCATTTGTGACACAGAATTTAAAAAAAAATAAAAAGCAATTTTTAATTGGTTGCAAATCTAACCTATGCATCTACTGAGCCCGGCAGGATTCATAATATTCCACACTGATAGTTCTCCAATGATAAGGTTAACTTTGGGTGTAACCTCAAACTTGGTCTAAAGATACATTTGTCCTGATTTTCCAGGACTGTCCATTCCATTATGGTTCTTACAGATTTAGAACTGGAAAAGGCCTGAAAGGTCATCTAGTTCAATATCCTTATTTATAGATGAGGAATCTGAGGCCCAGAGAGGTCAACTAAGTTGCCCAGGGGTTATCCAGATAGCAAGTGGGAAGTTGTAATTTGAAATCATATGACTCCAATCCGGTGCCCTACATCAACCTGTCTCTATTCCCTTGGACTCTGGCAAAAATTGTTCCCTGTTCTCATCACTTTAAAGGCTCTAAATTATTTTTTCCTACACCTAAGGCTTTTGATAGCTTCTTTGGGTAGATTTAAATAGAAAGGGCTTCCCTATAAATCCAGGAAGTAGCTAGTATCATAGCAACAGCTGAAGCAGGCACCAACTGGTTTGGGGTGAATCCAAAGTTTAAACTACGTTTTCACTGAGCAAGAGCACCTGCCTCCAATTCTGGACTACCAGGCCAGAAGGACATATCCAAGGCACCACTGCCGCACTGATTTGGACCTTCTTCAGTGCCTGAAGAATCACAAGACTTTGGGACTGTTGTGTGCTACAATTATAAGTTAGACTACCTACTGTATGAGGTAGAGATGGGTTCCTTTGTGCTAGAATCTGCCCTAAATTTACCTTATTAGAACTGTTTCCTCTTTTGTTTGATTATCTTATCCTCTAGTAAACATTTGTCTAACTTTTATTGGCATGTTTTAATTTAAAATTTAGTTACATTTTAAACTTATCTGTTTAATTTTTAATTTTCACTCTGTTAAAACCGGCTTTCCTTTGGTATTCAGGGATCTATGCAAGTAGTATGAGCTTTTTAGATTTCAACATGTGGAGAGGCCTTCACTTGTGGCAGGACCTGTTACACATGGAGATGGGAGTGTTGTTGTGTGGCTCAAGGGGAGGTAGAATTGACATTTCTAACCTCTTCCCCTCCCCCACCCCTCCCCTGTCTTTCTCCAAGGGAGACTTTTAATTTCTAATAAGAGGGGAAGCAAGAGGTTGGGGCCAGAGGATGACCACTCTCCTCTCCTCAGAGAGAGGTCGTACCGACCTACAATTATATCTGTCTGCTCCCTTACACGTTGTTAGTCTAGGGGAGATGATCAGGTTCAGTCTAACTTCTGATCACTATTTCAACAAATGGGAGGAAGATGGACCCCAAACTTTACATCCAAGGTTTGACTCCCTTCCCATCAAAATACCTGTCCCACAGTGAACACACATAGCAAATAGCAAAGAAACCCAGTTATCCAAATCATAGCAAAACAAATCAGAAAACATATACAGAGCAGAATATATACCAAATAATACAGAGTGAAGGAGTTCTCCCATTGGGGGCCAGGTAACTCAGCTCAACCACGGGCGAGAATCCCAGATCTTATCTAAGGGGAAATGTAGTGGACGGGATAGGGACATGATGGAACTGCCAGCTCCACTTACTCCTTAGATAAGCTAGGTAAGTGGATCTACATTATCTAATGTAGCAGACGGGTTAGGGACATGATGGAACTGCCAGCTCCACTTACGTCAGCTTCTTCCTAGGGTCTCTTCCTTCAGCAACCAGAAGTGGAATTGGTATTTTCCATCTTCCCTCTCCAGGGTGGAAGCCAGGAGTGCCAAAAGCAACTCGATTTTGTAGAGTCCCAAAGAGGACTGAGGAAGTTCAATAACACTCTCTCGCTGTCACCAACCCCACACGTCATGCAAGTCTCTGCCAGTGAGGAAAGCATCTCACACCAATGGGCTTTGGCACTGGGGTTTCAAATAGTTTCAGCATTGATACCTTTGGAATTCTGTGGCCGACTTCATGTTAATTAACCTTAACATTTTCATTTTTTTTCTTTTTCTAAATTTAATAGCCATCAGTAAACATAAACACAAGTACAAAAGAATTTAAAAGTTCACAATGAAACCATAATAACTGTTTGTTTTGTTCTTTTTGGTGAGGCAGTGGGGTTAAGTGACTTGCCCAGGGTCACACAGCTAGTAAGTGTTGAGTGTCTGGGGCAGATTTGAACTCAGGTCCTCCTGACTCCAGGGCCAGAGCTCTATCCACTGCGCCACCTAGCTGCCCCTCATAATAACTGTTAAGAGATGATTATTAACTAATGACCATAAATTTCTCTTGTCATTTATTTTTAAATGTGCATACAGTATTAACTTCAACAAGATAGTAACAAGGTTGTCCCGTTTGTTTCTGTGTTTTTTTCTAAACTCCTCCTCTACTTTGTTGCAATTTTTTTTTTTTTTTGGATTTTGTTGCTGCTATTATTATTTGTTATCTATGTAGTTGTGACTGTAAATATTGTTTTGGTTTTATCTTCATTGAGCATCATTTTCATCAAAATCTTCCCTTTTTTATCATTCCTATTTCTCATTTTTATAGGTACAACAATATTCCATTACATTGTTATACCACAATTTGTTCATCCATTGCCTAATTGTTTGACGAATGTAAACTTCAACATTTTGAAATGCAGTGCAATATTATACCTTTTGTGGAAGTGCTGGGCTTTGCTCACAACAGTTAGGAAGATGAATAGATCACAATCAAATGCTTGTAGAGAGCTATTTGGGAGGTTTGGTCCACACTTGTGATTTCATTGGTGTTCTCATCTCCCAGTTTGGAAACCCCCTCCACCAATGAAGGTGACAAAGTCATGTGCAGTTTATGAGATCGTTTCCTGGGGCCTTGAGAGATTAAGTGACTTGCCCATAGTCACATAGCTAATCAAGACTTGAATCCAGATCTCCCTGATTCCAAGGCTGGCTTTCCATTATTCCATGTTGCTTTTTATGGGATTATATAATGTGGAGTGGGGATAGCAGGGAGCATTGGTCAGAGAACTCTAAGTAGTACAGGATAAATAGGGCTTTGCCCAAGGGTGTCAACCTGGAGAGATGGGGTGGAGCATGTTTTATTTCTAGGAGACACCCTTCATCCCTGGAAGAACATAATTTCACACTTCTCTCCTCCCCATTTATCCTCTTTATCGATATACCCTCTCTCATCACCTACTGTCCTTTCAACCGCATGGGGCAACCTCCCCACCCCACCCCCTAAACTGAATTTGCCTCAGGTATAGTTTCAGGGAGTTACAACTCTGACCTCAGTTAATGCTATAATAGACGCTTGCTCCCACTTACCCTTCCTGCTCATTATGTAGCTCTCTGAATTCATGCTAGAGAAAAGGAAAAGAATTAAGCTCCTAGGCTTAAGCTTCTTTTGTTCCATAGGCAAAAATGTTATTACTTGCATACATAAAAATGTGGCAAAGATACCTGAACTGGACTTAGAGAAAGAATGGTAAAGAAGGAGGAAAGGTGGAAGAGAGAGAGAGGAAGAAAACTTACAAAGAGAGGATGAGTTAGCAAAATGCCCTGCACTGAGTTGTAAACTGGCCCAAAGGTGAATGTGATTAGGCAACAGTAGAGCAAGAGCAAAGGGCGACAGCATAGAAGAGAGAAGTTCTGAAAGGTGCAGACACACAAAGTGGGTGAGTTACTCCCAGTGGACAAGGTTTTCTGTGCTTTTGGGTCCTCTGAGCCTTGGGGGAGGTCGGAAAGAGACGTGCGTGTGTGAGGGTCTTGAGCAATCCGAGTGCAGAGAAATCTTTTCAAGTATAAAGAACACTGAAGAGTCAGTAAGCATTTCTCTTAAGTTTAAGCTTGTTATATATCAGGCAGATATATATCTGTGCTACAGATAACAGATAGAGAAATGAGACAGTTCCTCACCTAAAGGAGCTTACATAACTAAGAAGACTTTAGAAGGAAACACTAAAGAGGGCTGATTATGTGCCAAAGTTTTAAGCAAGATGAATTGAAGCAAAGGAAATTCCTGATGTAAACAGAAGATTGGGGAAGACTGTTGAAAAGAATGTCAGGTTAGAAGTCTGAATTTATGTGGTCTAATATAAACTGTCTGTTTCATAAAAGTAAATAAGATTATCCGTTGTGGTGCATACAAAATTTTTAACAAATACATTAATTCAAATTAATTGTTGCTAGTCCTATATGACTACCAGAAAATCATAGCTATGTTTAGAATAAAGGTCAGTGTTTAATAATCTTCTGTAAGCAAATGTTTTACACCAATGAAAAACTTTAGAGCCACAGAAAATTTCACAATCAAGTCATCCTGTCAGCTTCTTATTAGGATTAACATTTGATGGAATTTGCCTTTCTTTGATATTTTTGTAATAAGTATTTAAATGTCATAGATGGTTAATCTGTCATTCAGTAGGGAAAAAATCAGTTCAAAATACTGCCAAATGGGTAGAAAATTCCACGAGCTACTTAGTTACATGAGTTTCTTCTGAAGATCAGTAAACTTTTCAAAGCACTTCTCTGTAGCTATTTATTCTTTAAAATAAAAAAGCATTAGAGAATGGAGTTTAAGATATAGAGCAGGAAAATAGAAGGGACATAGAAATTATACCACAAAAGTTCTCCACTTTTGCTAGCTGTATTGTTTGATTTTAAACTGAACACCTGGTGAATGACTGTGCAATTTTCATTACTTGATACCCGATACCTATAACGTATTTGCTTTTATTGAAATCTCTTAGAGAACAAAAGGAAATGTTTGTTTAATGGCAGTAGAAGCCAAGAAGGCATTTCAGAAGCCAGAATGAGCTGAAAACATGACTGATAGCTGATGAAGAGTGGGTGTGTACACTAGTTTTCCTTCTTTCCATCCAAGTACCCCCAGGCTAATTAGAAAATGCTTGTTGGATGGATGAATGGAAGAAGCCCAGTGGCTTTATTCTAAACATATTTTCTGAGAGGAGAAAAGTGACTCAGTTTGATCATTTTGGGAGTTACTGACAAAGGCCTAAGTTGATGAAAAAGCAGGCATAATATAAACCTAATAGGCTCTGAAAATGGAATTTCTGCTTTTAGCTGTTTCGGAGATTGAAGTTGAAAGAAAAAGGGAGTCAGGAACAATAAGAGAGTGAAGAAACAGGCTAGGGGTGGGGAGGGGAGGAGGAGAAGTTAGATGTTCAACTTCTCTTGTTACAGATCTTTCCAAGCAGCTAATAGATTTCAGTTGTAGATTGCCTAAGCAGAAATTTTCTTTGTAAAGATGAAATGCTGGCCCTTATTCATGATTACATAATAGAAATCCATGAGATCATAGATTTCCTGGTTTGATCTATGATTGTCAATCTCCGGATAAGGGTTTAGATACCTCAGAATACCTCCACTTATCAAGGGTGACATGAAATTCTTAAATTCAAAAACAAAATTTCCTTTAATTCACTTCAATTTTTAAAATATGCAGAAACCATGTTGTGCATAAATTTTAGGTTGGGAATATTAAAAAACTAATATTAAATATAAAAAAGTCGAGTGTCAAACTTCAAAAAAGGTTGAAAAATCAGTGGCTTGGACTCAAAGTATAGATTATAATAATAACTTTAGTAGAAAGAAAAGAGATCTATGGAGCAGAAAATATGGAATTAGAATTCAAATCATAACCCATAACCTTGATTCTCACAGGAGAGAAATATAAAAAGCAATTTATACATTAAACCAGAATCAGGTGCTGTGACAGTGTATTACTAGAATAAATGTGTAAATGATCAGAATGGAATCTTTAAATCTTAAATAAGAAATCTTACTTTCATCAACTTTACTAGAAGTAAAGATTACCAGTAATAGGCCACATTCTCCTTTAGAGACTGAATAAATGACACACGGAATCTTGCAGTGGGACAGCTGGGTGGTACAGCAGATAGAGAGTCAAGCCTGGAGTCAGGAAGACTCATTTTCATGAGTTCAAATCTAGCCTTCGATACTGGTTGTATGACCTTGGGCAAGTCACTTATCCCTGTTTGCCTCAGTTTCCTCATCTGTAAAATGAGCTGGAGAAGAAAATGGCAAAACACTCCAGTATCTTTGCAAAGAAAACCCCAAATAGGATCACGAAAAGTCAGACCCCACTAAAAACAACTGAAAAACAAACAAAAAATCTTGCTGCAAACTAGCTATTAACACCTCACTTGAAAAACTCTGTGGGTCCTTTGATACTTGTTTATCGTATTCAGTCCTACCAATAAGAAAAATTACTACTAAGTTCCCAGGTAGAAAAGATTACATTATTCCAAAGACAATGACAAAGTTTTAACCCCAGGTTTCAAGAACACAAACTCAGCATCCTAGCTTTTTTTCAGATCTGTGTTCTACATGTCAAAAGAGATATTCCTGGTATCATCAAGATTCCTTTCAAACAATATTTTATGATTCTATGATCCATCTTATGCTATATCTTTCCGGAACTCTAATTATAGCAAAACGACCCTATGTAATATCACTCCAGGGTTTCAGGCGCATTTTCATGCAGTCAAGCATTTATTAGCTGCCTACTCTGTGCCCAGGCACTGTGCTGTATGCTCAGGAAAAAGATACAAAAAAGGAAACCATCCCTACCCCTTATAGAATGTAAGCAAATACAGAAACAATGAATGCAAAATAAATATTGCCGAGAATATTAACAAGTTATTTTAAAAACATTGTCTTTTGCCTCCTGGAAGAACAAGAGGGAACTTTTAGTCAGTGATGAATTGTGGCAGTGTGAATCATGGGAAGTGGGCCTGACAGGAGTCCAGGAACTATGACTTTGTCAGCTTTCTGCACATTAATAAATCTGCGTCTATTTACCCATCTGTAAAGTAATACCGTCCCTGACTGCTGGTGAAAATGAAATGAAATATGTAAAAGTGCTTTGGGAATTATAAAAGTATGTGCAAAGGGAGATGCTGTTATGCTCAACACAGGTGGTATCTGATTCCAGGTCAATAAAGTGTGATGGCCCGATTTTAAAAGTCATCAAAACTCAGTCGAGAGGGATAGTGTCCCCAACTTTACCAGTGAAAAATTAAAGATTGTTCTCTACTAACCCACAAGGAGGCCAATTTTAAAATTCATTTGGGATCATAAAAAGAAGCAGTAAAAGTTATTGCCAGAATGTCAAATACAACTTTACTTGACCCAGGAAGAAAGGAGGATGGTAGCAGAGGCAACTTCCAATTAAAAACAAAAGAGGAAACAATTTAAGCTTCCTTTCCCTTTCAGAATCAGCCGTCATCATGAAAAGGTACAAAGGCCTTCACCTGCCCTTGTCCAGCTTGCTCTGCCAGTTAGTAGAATCTGAGAAGCATAAGCTATGCTCCTTCCTCCAGCCACACCTTGGGTACCAAAGGCAGGGCTTCTATTATGGACGTGCTTTTTCTGCACAGCTATAAACAACAAGGTGAACTGCTAACCATATATATCTTTGTCCCTACAATTTGCTGAAGGTCTCTTTTCCATCTAGATCTTGAAGAGAGAATGGCCACGTCCCTGATTGCAACCTTTTCCATATTAGTTTCCTGTGTCTGCGGCAATATCTTCCACAGACACCAGACTTGGTTTGAAGGTGTCTTCTTGTCCTCGATGTGTCCCATCAACGTTAGCATGAACACCATGTATGGTATCATGTTTGACGCAGGGAGCACTGGAACTCGAATTCACGTTTACACCTTTGTGCAGAAGATGCCAGGTGAGTGTAGCTACTGTCTGCTGAAAGATTCTATCAATCTAGATTGCCAGGAATTTAAATTAAGGTGTGAATGAGACTTAATTATTTCTTATGGCTACTGCAGGATGATGTCTTCAGGGAATGTTTTAGACGATAGCCCTACATCTAGTGCTAATTCATTGTGATATTCAGAGGATGAAAGCTGGACTACCTGAATCTGAAACATGTCCAGAAAGCCCAGTTATAATCTAGTGGTCCCTTCATTGGAAGTGTATTATACTCAAGGGTTCATAATGCTTTGTTTTAAAGCTTAGGGATATCTTTTGAGTTGTCACAGTATTACTGTACTACCACCCTTAGGGAAGTAGGTCATACTGTTACATTGAAATGAGTGTCTACTGCTTAAAGATAGAAACAGAAGCTGGAGAAGCAATTTGAGGGAATAACAGGTTAGTCAGAGGCAGCAGTGGGTCGAGATGATTGTAAGAAGGGAGAGTCTCTGAAAATGGGTGGGAAGATGAGAATAAAAGGTGATCCAAAAACTGAACTCAAGGAGGCATTCATGTCTTTTAGGATCAACCATCTCTCTCCTAATTTGTGTTTTTATAGACCATCTTCCAACGTTGGAAGGGGAAGTGTTTGATTCAGTGAAGCCAGGTCTTTCTGCCTTTGCAGATCAACCAAAGCAGGTGAGGCCTTTTTCCTGTGATATGCGGAGTCTGAATACTTCCCAGCTTTACAACCACCACTGCTGCTTTAATATTTCCTGCTATTCATTGATGAGATTGGGTCCCACATAGACTTGGTTTTCATTTCTCAATTAAGCTGTTAGGACATTATTTCCCCACTGCAAATTCCATAGGATTTAGGCAGGGTTTACATGAGAGGCTAGGGGAAAAAAAAGTCCTCTGGAAGTCAAAACTGTTTCCTATATTACTACTGTTTGATATATTAAGATTAAAGTCATTGATTTAATTTTAGTAGCTAAAACTAGCTATGCTTATCAAAGACATAAAGACATGTTTAAACATGGATTACCATGCAACCTAAAGTAAATGAAATTCAACTGAATCAACAAATGTTAGAGCTTGAAGAGCCCACGAAGACCACCTCATCCAACTCTTTCATTTTATGAATGAGGAAATTAAAGGCCAGAGAAGTGAAACCACTTACCCCCAGTCACTGTGCTGGTTAATGGTAGAGCCAGGGGGAGAATTCAGATCTGCTGACTGTCTGCTCTCATCCAGTGTTGACTCATTGATCTGCCTGAACCATGGAAGGTAGGAAGGAGCCTGGAGGGAGAGGGGTTGCGAGAATGGAGAAGTTCACATTGGTTATATTTTCATATTTGGAGGCAGGGACACACAAGTGTCAGGGTCTGTACTGAAATCCAGTACGGCAAGGCAAGAGTCAAAGTTTTAGAAGCAGAAATAAGCATATCTAAGTAGCGTCCAAATTCTATGTAAAGCAAAATCTGATATTAAAGATCTTTGAGTTTGGAGAAGTCATATCCCAGATGACAAGCTTAGGGAAGAAGTACAGTTTGCATGGTTCGGTTGAAACAACACTGGACTCAGGTCCCTGTTTCAGCTCTACCACTCTTTTATCTCCATGACTTAACCTCTCTGGTCTGCAGTTTCATCATCTGTAAAACAGAAGAATGGACCAGAATGGATTTATTTCTTAAGCCCCTCCCTTTGCGGTTCTAAGTAAGAGGGGGCTACTTTTTCTAGTTCACTGTTGTCAATAAGAGGTAGCCAGAGTCAAAGGAGGGTATTTGGGAAAAATGTGTGGACCAGCAATGCTGAACTGGAGAAGGTGCCAGAAAATTAGGAGGTATTGAAAGCCACCATGTCAGAAGTTGTCTTAGCAGCGGAAAAACAGATTCATGTTGTTGCTAAGAATAACAAAAGTAATGATGGTGATGGAGGTTGGTAGCCTCCAAATTCTATGCAAAGCAAAATCTGGAGGTATAGCATCCTGGCAGAATAGAAGAATTACTTTATTCTTTTTTTGTGTTCTTCCTCTCAAAATGGTCCCAGTTCTACATTTTGTTCTACTTCTTTAACCTGTGTTCTCAAACCAGAGCCATGTTAGTGCCCCAACTCTAGTGCCTAGAGAAGAAGCCAATCCCAGCCAATGGATCTGTACATTCCAGTGACTGAGTTTCTCTTTTGCAGGGTGCTGAGACTGTTCAAAGACTCTTAGAAATAGCCAAAGACGCAATCCCCCAGAGTCACTGGAAAAGGACCCCGGTGGTGTTAAAAGCTACCGCAGGACTTCGGCTTCTGCCTGATCACAAAGCCCAGGCTCTGCTCTTGGAAGTAATTTCTGAAACCCTTTTTTTCTTGAGCAATTGTTTTCCCTCCATGTTAATGTTTTCCTTATTGTTTTTCACTCATTTAAAGTGAAGTTGTTGCCCTTTTTACAATACCTTTGCAAACAAACTTGACAATCTTTCCAATGTCCAATTCTGTAATTGTTAATATTACTTAATACTTCAGGAATCTCTAAATTTATTACTGTGAGCACTCACTCCTCCAGTGGTACAGACTGCAGTACCCCTATAGATTAATCAATGATCTACCAGGAGTGGGGAACCTGCGGCCTCGAGGCCACATGTGGCCTTCTAGGTCCTTGGGTGTGGCCTTTTGACTGAGTTCAAGTTTTACAGAACAAATCCTTTTATTAAGGGGATTTGTTCTGTGAAGTTTGGATTTAATCAAAGGGCCTCCAAACAGTACAGTGTGTCTCAGATTATAAAGAACCTTCATGAAATGGTCCTTTTTTTTTTTTTTTCACTCAAGAAGATGGTATTTGTTTATCTAGCTCCTTCTCCTGGGGAGAATAAGTCTTATTCAATTTAGTCCCTTGGAAAAAGGAAGGGGGTTGTTTTCTGAGCCTATTAATAATACACATGATAAGGGAATTGGCTTAACTGGTTCAGGAAATCCAAATTTCTGTCCTCCTAGGTAAGGGAGCTCTTCAAAAAATCACCTTTCCTGGTCCCAGAAGACAGTGTTAGCATCATGGATGGATCCTATGAAGGTGTGGAGAAGTGTGGGTGCATATTCTAGGAAAAGAGAGACATGGATAGAGAAAAGAATATAATTGGAGAGAAGCATGATAGAGTTTTAATAGAGGAAGAAATTAGTTAATTGGAAAAACGAAGGAAAAAATGGACTATAGGGAAGAAGAAATTGGGGAGAGTGGGAGGTGAAATATGTGGTTAGGAAATTAAAATTGGCATAGAAGGGGCAATGATGGGGGAAGGGAGAAAATCAAATGTATTCTAGATTCTAGTAATTTTGTTTTGTTTTAGGAATATTAGCCTGGGTTACTGTGAATTTTCTAACAGGTAAGTAAGTTCCACAATTCGCCTTAAGTTCCCCCCCTTGGTTCCCACCAATCTGGTAGCAGGTTAGAACTATTTCCTTTGTCTCATCAGGATTTGCAGTTCACAGATATGTATCTTCCTTGGGTCAGTGATGGTTTTGGCAAGAAAAGCCTTTTTCCCTTTTACTACTTTCTGTCTCCATCATGCACTAAAATATAGATTATTTTTCCATCATGCTTCCAAGGTTCCATGTTTCCTTCTGAAATCAAGACAGCAGGTTTTAGTATCAAGAAGAGAAAGTTCATTAGTTAATTAACTGCACTTGTCAGATAGAGAAGGCAGGAAGGAAGATGCAAGCAGTTTTGGGGATCAGCTGGAATTAGTTGTTCAGAGTACGTTGTCATCTGCAGGTCAACTGCACGGTCAAAACCCAACAACTGTTGGGACTCTGGACTTGGGAGGGGCTTCCACCCAAATTACATTCCTGCCCCAATTTAAGGTGAGTAGTTTTTATTATGGCTCTTTGTTATTACCATTTATAGATTTGCTTTGGGACCAAGTAGGCAAAGGCCCATTCTTAGCAGTTTAGCTTTCAGGTATCCCTAAATCAGAAGAATGTGAGTCCCTGGAGGAACTGATTGAGTTAGACCTAGCTGCTAGATGAGCTTGCCATAATCACTGTCCCTTTTCAGTACATTTAGCTGTTCTGGTCCCTTCATCATAGAATACACTGTTTTAGGCTATTGCTGCCATCTGATTGGAGGGAGAGAGTTAGTGACCCTATGTAGTCAATATTGAACAATGATTTTTTTTTCACTTTTTTGATTTACAGAAAACCCTGGAACAAACCCCCAGTGACTATCTCACATCCTTTGAGATGTTCAACAGCACATATGAGCTCTACACACATAGGTGAAGAAGGTGACAGGGTAGAATAGTTATATGTATCTCACATTTGTATAATGTCCTTAAATTTTCAAAATGTTTTCATATCTGTTATTTCATTTGATCAACTTCAAGAAATATGTTGGTTGGGTTTTTTCTTTCTTCCTTCCGTCCTTGCTTAATGTATTGTGAGATGTTTATTATAGCCTATGAGCTATAATTCAAGATGCTTCTTAGCAAAACCAGAAGGTCATAAAAGGATGACTATTTCTTGTCCTCACAAATGCATAAGACTTTGTTTATCTGGAAAGAAATAAAGTTCTTGGAGAATGATCTTTTCAATATGTATAGCCCTATAGTATAAGCTGGCCATCCATTAAAGCATTCAACTTGGTTAAGAAACTAGAATTAGAGTACATAGTAAGGTAAGAGCTAAAATGACAAATAAAAATTTTCTGAGTGATAAATGAGATTCGAAGAATCGTTATCATCATCTTTTGGCTGGTTTATGAATGGTATGTTTTAAGACGAAAAAAGAAAATAAAAGTTCTTGCTGCATATCCCTAAATAAGAATCATGCCAGAACTCTCATACTATGTCACCATCACTGGCTTATTGTCCAGAAATGATTAATTGGCCACAGAAACTAAACCTCTCTCTTTTTCCAAAAGGAAAGAGCCAGAAAATATGTTGACAGGGAAGAGTACCATCATTCTTTTTGCTATATGGTTTTAGGGAAAACAGATAGTTCAAAGGAATTCTATATAGAGAGAGACAAATACAGAGATGTAATTGGCAACTTTTGTTTTCATTTCTTTGGCAGTTACTTAGGATTTGGACTAAAAGCTGCTAGACTTGCAACCCTGGGAGCCCTGGACACAGAAGGTTTGATTTGATCTCATTGCTATATTGGGGATGGTTAGAATGATACATGTTTAACTTCCTTGGTATCGGCTCTCCCCTTTCTTAGCGATCATCTGTCCCAAATGGATAGTGTTGGGTCGGCATTTGGAAGTGTATGCAGAATACTGTGTACTATTGCCCTGACTAATTAATGCTGTTTCACAATAGTCATTAATATAACCAGTCATGCTGTCTTAAAGTCCTGGTTTAATACTGTTTAACTGATTGCCCAAGATAAAAATCAGATGAGTGGTGATTGTGCAACATGGCTTTGCTTAATATCATGGTTTGATAGAAATAATTAACAACAATAGGTGGGGGTTTATTACCTGTACGTAGTGAAACTAGGGGTTGGTTTGGGATGGAAAATAATCATAAATACAGGTAGGAAGAGTTGGGAGAATGAGCGGTGCTTTGTATCTGGGATTCAACAAGGTTTTTAGAAGGGAAAGAATAAGCATTTATATAGCACCTACTGTGTGCCAGACACTTTAAGTGCTTTACAATTATTAGCTCATTGGATCCTCACAACAACCCTATGTGAGGTAGGTGCTGTTATTATCCCCATTTTGCAGTTGGAGAAACAGAGGGAGATACAGGTTAAGTGACTTACTCACAGTTACATTGTTGTTTGTCCTTTGCTCTCCAAGAAGACCAAAATGACATCACGATGTGAGATCAGTGTACAGTGTGTCCAGCTGTGGCTGACCATACCCTTACAAGCTCAGAAGGCTCTACCACAGGTTGGACACAAATAGCAAAATGTTACGGGGGATGCCTTTTGACTCTAGCATAAATTGGATTTAAGTGAGGCAGAGTTGCATGAAATCATCAGCTCCAGGGCCCCATAGTTAATAAGTATCTAAGGCCAGATTTGAACTTAGATCTTCTTGCTTCCATGCCCTGTATTCTACCCACTGCACCACCAGCTGCCACAGTCCTTTATTAATTTAACTAAGAAATGCTTAGTTCCCTTAGAGTGTCCTGAAGGACTCAGCCATACTAAATCTGATTCTCTTGAAATAGGACTTACCTTGCAACCATTTTTTTGTTAAATTTAATGGCCATTCACCCTCCCACTGTCTCACTCCTGACTCCTTCGGTTTCCTTTTAGCCGTTGACGGACAGACATTCCGAAGTTCCTGTCTACCCAAGTGGTTGGAGGCAGAATGGGATTTTGGGGGAGTGAAATATCGCTATGGTGGCAGAAAGGAAGGTGAGCATGGTTTTTGTGTTAGGCTGTTTATTCCAGAAGCCCTCCGGGACTTGTATTTGTCTTTCCTGTAAGAACCAATCTCCTGTCCTATAGAGAGAAGTGTCAAACTGCAGGACCTCACTTTAGACACATCTTGGTGTCTCTCTTGGTGTGCATACTGGCAGCCTCGGTGAATAAAGGTATTGCCATTGTGTGGCCCGTTCTATTTCTAGGGCCAAGTGTTGTATAGTGTCATTGTAAGGTCTCTGGTACTCAGCAAAGTGAAACCTCACTGTTACCTCTTGAGGCAGTCATTGCTGAACTACATAAATTGTGGTCACATGTCAGATTGAAAGTGTAGGAAGGATGATTCATATTAAGTGTTTTCTTAGAGCAGGGCCTTAGAGTTAATTGAATACCTGGAACAAGCAACAGTCAAGTCCTTGGATCTATCAAACAAGATTTACGTATCTTCTAGTTTTAAGGGTGACAAAATTCACTGGAGAACTACTCTGAGTACTTAAGCACAAACACTATGAAATATGGTTCTAGAAACAGCAGCTGTAATTTAGTCATGTCTGTTCTGTAGTTCTGGATTATGGAACAAGGACGTACAATAATGAACCTTTCTTTGGAAGGCAGCTACAAAATCCCTTTGTGCTCTCGTACCTTACACTCTGCTGTGACAAAATGGGACTATTTACTGTTCTCCCAAACAAAGCCCACACTTTACTGCCTCTATGTCTTTGCTATTACTTTTCCCCTTGGCATTGCTTCCACCTAATTAGCCTCTAAGACCAAGTTCAAATGCCACCAGCTTCTAGAGGCCTTTCCTGATTCCTCCTCCTTCATGCCTGTCTTAAAGTACTTTCCTATTCTGCCTTGTAGTTATTTGCATATGTCTCTTCCTCCTTACTGGATTATAAATTCGTTGAGAGCAGGAACTACTTTCCTCATCTTTTTATCCTCCAAGCACACTGCCTTGAACACAGACACTGAACAGACCGACGGATGTTGAATTGGCCTTTGGCTGTCTGTCCTCATCGCTCTCGTCCTCCACCTTCCTTCTGCTTCCACTTGACTGCTTCCTCCCCATCAGCTCCTGCACATCTCTTTACACTAAAGTCCCTTGTTCATCTCTCTAAGCTTACTCCTATGTATCTTTATCCTGGCAGGGGAGGCAGGGTTTGAGGCTTGCTACTCTGAAGTGCTTCAGGTGGTTCGAGGAAAACTTCACCAGCCAGATGAGATCCGCAAAAGCTCCTTCTACGCGTTCTCTTATTATTACGATAGAGCTGTTGACACAGACATGATTGGTAAGTCCGCTCAAAATATCAGCCCTGAGAGAAAATTATGGGGAGGCAAGGAGAAAGAGAAAGAACTTCTTCCCAGTGCTTTTGTCCAGGTGTGCATGTTTGATTATTCTCACGCTGATCACTCAACTAAGCACGGGAGCATGATCTGAAGAACTTCAGGCACCTCACAGGAGCCTCCACCTATATGAGAAGTCTCTTTGTTCTCAATTACGTTTCTCTTCCATTTCAGATTATGAAAAGGGAGGCGTCTTAAAAGTGAAAGACTTTGAAAAAAAAGCCAGGGAAGGTAAGTGTCATCATAAGACACCTTAAACAAACCTTGGAGAAAAGACAAACCCTAGTTCCTAAATATTAGAGAGCATTTCAGCTCTTTTTTCTCCAGAAGACTGCTTTCCTCTTTGTATATGGGTTTTTTCAAACGCTTATGAGATTGTTTATAAGCCGTAAGGAAATCTGGGGAAACATGTGATTGTGCAGAAGAAAAACATGTTTAGTTATCTGTGCTTCCTTGAGCAAATTACTTAACCCCTTTCCTTCATCTGTGGCAGGGAAAGAACTGAGCTGCAAGGTCCCTTCTAGCTCTAAAATGTTGAATCTACAATATACTAAAAAAAAAAACCCTTAATATTTCTTGTGAGGAATGTCAGTGTTGTTATTAAGTACCACCGTGCTTGATACTAAACATAGAACTTGTTACACCAGGGTCCTTCATAACAGCTAAAAATATCCATGCTCTTTTCAAATGGTTCCAAAATAGAACCATTAAGAAGTTGCCTGGTTGTTTCCTCCGGAGGCCAGCCAGCATTAGTAACAAACGAGGAACGTAGAACTCAGTCTCTAGAATGCATCATTCAGAGGGTACTTAGCAATCAAAATAGGATCCGCAGTGGATAGGATGTAGCTGTGTGATTAACAGCAGATAGTCCTGGTTCACTGAGATGTCACAGGTTTGCTCAGTCAATCAGGATAGAATTCTAGCGGAGCAGGAAGAGACTCTAGCTTCAGTGAATTTAGATTTTATATGTGAGGGAAAAGGGGAAAGATTGGGGGAGGGAGGTGACCCTCTGAATGTAGGTTTTATGGAATATGTAGAACTCCCATCTTTGCTTTAATTTCAAGTGAAGCATTAAGAAATTTAATTAAGAGTGCTTTTTTAAATGCAATAAAATGTACCCTTGCAGTGTTAAAGAGAACTTAAATTTCCTATTTTATTAACTAGTCAAGTAATATTAATTGATGAAGTAACATTAATAGCCGCCTTTTTTTTGCTAGTGTGTGATAACTTAGAAAATTTTACCTCGGGCAGTCCATTCCTGTGTATGGATCTCAGTTACATAACAGCCTTATTAAAGGATGGCTTTGGGTTCATGGACAGCACTATCTTACAGGTGAGAGAGACGATGCAATAAACCCAGCCTGTTCCCCAAACCAACTCCAGTTTCTTTTGGGTAGTGACGGTGAAAGACCTATAGAGAGAATTAGGGAGGCAAAAACCCTTTCTGGTAGTCAGAGCTGGCCATAGATAAACTATGCAGCGGGCTAAAGGTTGTCTTCCAGGTTCTTAGTCTCCCCTTTGCTGCCCCCTTCCCTCCCATGAATGCCCTGCCCCCAATTGCCAACTCACTAATAATGCCATATCTATCACGTCATGGAATAAAGTAATATAATTATTCATACTAAAGTGCTAGTGACTTAGTGTGTTTCCCTTTAAGGAATTAGTTGCATTTGATATGCTTAACACAAAGAAATTTAAGACTCAAATTAACCTAAATTCTTTAATGGTGAAATTTCAGGCGTCTGTAAGGATATTTTGGAGGAGGGATCCCCTCCTGGACTCTTTAAATCATGTCATATAAGTAACAACAAGAGCATATGACCGGTTCTCCAGTAATAATGTTATGATGGGCAGTAGCATTTGAGCCCAACTACACATACATCAGATCTTTCTACTTTAACCCATGACTCTCTCCATAAAGATAGAGACAGCTATGGCATAGTAGAGTTAGAAAACCCAGGTTTGAGTTCCAGTGAGTAACTTTTCAGCCACAGCGTCTGAGGAAGATCGTCTACTAAGGGGTTTAAATTTGCATCATTATAGGAAGTACCCATGCTGATGAAATAACAGACTTTAAACTATTCAACTATTAATAACTAATATGTTAATTATGTTCAAATGTAAGAACATAGTATTAACATTAATGGATCATTACTATTAAGAACTTTATCCATTCCTACCTGTGCTAGGTTCCATTTTTCTTTACAAATTATACTGTGGGCAGAATTTAGACTGAGTACAACAAATACTCATTCCCAAGAGTATAAATCCAAGCCAATTGTAGATAATCCCATTTCAGGATGACTGGAGGGGCTGGTTGGTTTTAGGACCTCTCTGGAGTTTCAGGGCTAGTCCAGGTTTGCCTTTTATGGATTCCAAACAGAATCAGAGCCCTGCCTTTACTAAGAAGTGAATCCAAACCCTAGGACAGCCTCAGGATTGATATAATAGTTGGATTTCATTAGCTGAGAATTAGCACTTTACTTAAATGTTAAATTTACCAGTTGAAAATGGAGGACAAATGCTTGGATTTTTTTTTTCTTCTTTCCATAGCTCACAAAGAAAGTGAATAACATAGAGACTGGCTGGGCCCTGGGTGCTACCTTTCATCTTCTACAGTCTCTAGACCTTTCCCACTGAGGCCCAAGTACTTCTCCAGGGACTACAAATGCCGATCAGTGACCTTTCCAGAATGAGGAGTGATGGCCCATTCACATTGCTGAATGAGTCTAGAACACCACGGACCAGAGCCAAGCAGCCAGCTCCATAAGGAGCTAGAGAAATTAGTAGATGGGATTTGACCTAGATCCTTATGATTTCTGTTTAATTAATTATACACATTTAATGTGAGCTGTCACCTGACCTTTCTGAATGTTTGGAGCCAGTACCAGAGTCTTAAGCATTTGAGCCTCTTTCCGTGTTGTGAAAAGCCACATCAGCCAAAAAGGGTAGATTAGGAATTTTACCCTTGGGTTGGGATTCCAGAAACAAACCCTACAAGTCAACTCTGCATCCCCAACAGTCTTCGGAGTCAAATTCTGGACAACCGTGTGGGACCAAAAAAACTAAAAGAAAACCCAACCTTTGGAATTCTCATCTTGTCTGAAAAGCCCCAGTTTTTCTGTATGTTAAAATGATTTATTTATAATCCCATAACACGTTCAATAACAGTTGGGATGTTTTTTGAATTTTTGTTTATTTTTGCTTGGGGGGGTAGGTGTGGAACCTTAGGCCTTTAAAAAAAAAATCTCATTACCAATGAATGGCTTCATATCTGAAATCATGTATGGTGCTGCCCATTATGACTCCGGTCAGTAACCTCCATCCAAGCAGAGTGCCTTGGGTTGGCCATTCTAAATCTTAGTGAGGAAAATGGGGAATTCCTGTGATAAAAGTCTCATGGGCAATCTCATGATTTTCTCCAATATGTGCAAAGTGCAATATTTAGGAACACAGAAATTGTCTTCCTTCTGACTGAGCCTATCCACCTGATTATTCATGGATGTTGATTGTTAATTCCTAAGAAAAACTTGGCAGTACACCAAGAATAGAGTGTTCTTTTGTCTCATCACATCTTTTAAGCTGGGGTACTTTCTTTGTTTTGTTTTTGTTTGTTTTTTGGGCAATGGGGGTTAAGTGACTTGCCCAGGGTCACAGAGCTAGTAAGTGTCAAGTGTTTGGTCCGAGCCTGGATTTGGATTCAGGTACTCCTGACTTCAGGGCCGGTGCTCTATCCGCTTCGCCACCTAGCTGCCCCTGGGGTACTTTTCTAAGGGGTATATTTGGTCCATCCAACCTATATTTTTTTATGCCAACAGCAGTCTTGAGGGACATACTTTCAGACATTATTGTCTGCCTTAAAGTTAATCTTAAAGATTAGGGATGCTCCGGTTTCTCTTAGTAAGCATTTATGGCTCTTATGATACACACATTGGAGTAAACCTTTTTAAAAATCTGCATTTTCTGTTTGGGGTAGGTAATGAGTCTCATAGTCTCTACTGTCTCAGCTCTAAAATTCTATGATTCTATATGCTTGTTACCTAAAGTTATCTCACAAAAGTTTTAAAAGATAGCACCCTATTCTAGTATTTCCATATGTGATGAACAAGCTTGTGTGTCCACCTCATTCACAGCATTTCATATTTTTATAAATTTTAATCATGTCTTCTCCCAGTCTTTTAGTCTTTCATGTGCCATTTATTTTGGTTGCTACTCTCTAGTTCCTCTACAGTTTTATCAGGTCTTTCTTGGATGGCAGCCAGCACTGCCTATAGCATTAGCGGGGTGGACGTCCTGTAGTTCTAACAGAAGAATAGGACAAGAAGTCTGTTGTTTTATTTTCAGTACCTTTTTTGATGATGCTCAACATTGTCTTGTTGGCTATAGCAATACATTGGGGTCAGCATTCTCAGGGAGCCATCTTTATGGTCTCCCAAGTCATTACAGCCCACTTATGGGTAGTAATCCACCGCTAAGACCTCTTGATTTTTTTGTGTGTTTGAACTGTTTATCCAAAAGTGCATTACCTTATACTTGTCCACATTAAACGCTATCAGCTACATCTCTGTCCACTAATGTCTTCAGGTATATTAACAATAGCTAACTTTTTAAGGTTAGCAAACTGCTTCTCATATATTATCTCATTTGATCTATAGTTGCTTCCTAGCTAAAAGAGCTTATCTTCTGCAAACTTAGAGATTACACTGTGCACTTCTCTGAATCACTTATAAAGATGCTAACACCAATACTATCACCCTCCCCTGCCACGCCTGCCCCCCCTTTCTCCATTTAGAAAAGTGCCCATTTTCTCTCTCTAATCCAATTTTCAAGTCAGAAAATCACTCCTAAATCCTAGAATGATTCGTTTACTTTAGTAGCTTTTGGCCTGGAGCTTTGTCTAAGTCTTTTTGAAAGATGACTCAAATCCACTGGTTCTCCTTTATGCATTGGTACTTGGTGTATCTTCAAGGGAATTTTGGTTGTTCAGTCAGTCATGTCTGACTCTTCATGACCTTGTGGACTGTACTCTTCGTGAGATTTTCTTGGCAAGGATACTGCAGTGGTTTGTCATTTCTTTCTCCAGTAGATTAAGGCAAGCAGGGGTTAAGTGACTTGCCCAAGGTTACACACCTAGCACGTGTCTGAGGCTGGATTTGAACTCAGTTCTTGACTCCAGGACCAGCACTCCATCCACTAAGCCATATAGCTGCCATTGATAAGGATAAGTAAGCAAATAAAGGGGAAGCCATGGTGCAATCTGTTAATCAGATTTAGCGTGACTTCTTTCTGCAGAAACCAAGTTGCCTTTCACCTCAATTCATTCTGTTCAGTGATCCATCTAATAGTCTACCCGTTCACCCAGGGTAGAAATGAGACTCACCGGTCTTCCTTATGTTCTCTCTAGCATCCTAATGAAAAGAAGTCACACTTTTAATCATCCAATACAATGGCAGAAGTCATCTGTAACAACAGATTATACATTTTGGCCAACAATTCCCCCATGTTCATTCTTGAGTTCTCAAAAATTCAGAATGATGCCACCAGATCCTAATGCTTTATACCTACATTGATTTTGTCATTTAGAACATGCTGAATCTAGTACCTTCAACCTGTTCATTTCAAAGGGCAATTTAGGAATAGTGATTTTCCTGATAACCTCAAAAAATTCAGTCTTTCATCCATCCTCATTCAGTAAGCATTTATCATACACCTACTGTGTACCACTGTTGTATCAAGAAAGGTGCTAAGGGAGATATAAAGGTAAGGGAGTCTCTGTCCTTAAGGAGCTTATATATAGAAGAGGTGATGAGATGTATATTAAAATAAATATAATGCAAATTAGAACATGAGTTGAGTGTGGGAATGAAAGAATCTTTTTTTTCATTCTATAGTGGTACACTTTTTAAGCCCTACAGTCATTAAGGGAGTCCCACTGATTCTTCAGCTGCTTTCTTCCATTGATATATTTAAACAATCCCTTTTTTATTGGTTTTGGAGCTCTTACAAAACTGTTCCCCAATCTCTTTTCTGGACCACCTAGTTTTCTGATTATACCAACTTTGTAGGTGGTCCATTTTCACACTGGCTCTTCCCTTTAAAAAAAAAAAGCCATTTTTGCTTGCAACAACTCTCAACTGGTTAATTTTTACCTTGGCACATTTACCTAGACCTCCTATAAAGTTTATTAGGCATATGGTTTTGTTTCATGCGTTACTAAAACACAACTAAAGCACCACTTTTCCAGGAATTTGTTCTTTTCTGTATCTCTCATAATGGGCTTTTGGATAAAAGTAAATTGGTTTCTTATCAGGACGTAGGCTGAAGATTTTAATTTAAACCCAATGAAAGGCTTTCCTATAAGATTGTTTTTGATGTTTCATCGTTCTTTCCGCAAAGGCTAAGCTCATCCACTGTTTTTCCCAGATATTGGTCATTTCAAAGAAAAATTTAGCACTGGCCAACATACCTTTCTCTTTTCTCTTAAAATCTTTTAATCAGACTATTTTACTATAACATGCAAGATGACTTGGAGAGACAAAAATGTAGTACTCTAAAAATTTGAAGTGATATGGCAACTTAATCCTTTGACTCTGAAAAGTCTTAGATACTATCGTTAGGTTTTAAAGTGATTACCTGAGTCTCTGCCATGGTCCCCCAAAACATCACCATCTTTCTGCCAGTCCTTAAATTAACCATTTAAGTGTCTTCAATCTACTAAAGGGTTAGTAGAAAAGTTTTCTAATTCTAAGGAATTAGATACTAATTGGGCCTTGCTTTGAATAGCACCCCCTAGGAAAAAGAGAACCACAAGGCTGTTATCAGTTGCCTCCATATAAATTCCTCAGTGATTTTAACCCTTGACTTGGGATCTAAGCCAGGATGAAAGCAGTTACCTGGATCTAGGGCTACAAAAGATGCATTTTTTTCATTCTTGCTATTCTCAGAGTTTAATCTCAGGAGTTTTGGACTATAATACTTCGACATGAGATGCTGAGGAAGTGTTGTACGTCAACATGAGTGTCACTTTTGCTGCTAATCATAATTTCCTTTTGACCTGGTTTCAGAGGTCCTTAAACCTGTGCAATGAGATTATTTATTGTTTTGATGTGGTTTCCCAGAGAGGGAACCATAAATAAAGCTGTAATCTGATGTGAAGTGATAACCAACATTAACAAGAACTGGCTTTCTCTTTAGAAAGTTCAGTGCAACCACAGCAAAATTTAAAGTAATTTATAATTTAATTTAAATGTTAACTTTCAAATTCCTAATTTTATTAAAAATGTCAACTGGATGTAAGTAGTTCTCAACTCAAGCTGAAATATGGTGTGAAAAACAGAAATACTGCCCTTAGCTAATGGTGATCAGGAAAAAAAAAGTTACTTGGGCAGCACTCTGGTGTCTATTTTAATAATAAAAGGCTATTTTCCACCAGTCTTCATTTGATTTTGATGTTTTTCTCTTCTTCTACTAATGCATCCTGCTCATAGCAAGTTACTAATGCTTCCAATTGGATTAACAGGACCACTGTTAGACAGCTGCCATCACACAGAAACATTACTTGTACTTAGAAATTATTGTCATCAAAGAAAGAGAAAAAAAGCAACAACAAGAATTCTAGTAAAAACCAAGTTTATTACATTTTGAAAAACAATTAATTTGATTGATGCAGTCTATCTGGTCTGTCTGCTTTACTCCTCAAAACAGTGACCAGGAAGTAGGGCATTCATTTGCTTGCGAAGGCCATAATCTGTTCCTGGTATGGAGAAAAACAAAAAGGTACTCCTAAGTGACACTTCTACAACCCTGCAGGAGCTAAAGATAACAGAAACGGAACCTATGCTGTGACAACATAAGGAAAGGGGACCAAAAAGCCAGTTGGGATTCTTTTCCCAGTTCATCCTTCCCGCATCTTATTTATCCAGAGATGTACATAGGGGCCAGATGGATATAAAGGCTTTCCAGCCAATTCAGTCTTGGCTATAGGTCACCATAAAGAGCTTTAGACCATGGCTAATATTACCTCTCCTAAGGAGTAGCTAGGTAGCAAAGTGGAGAGAAAGTCTGAGTCCAAATGGGGCCACGGACACTTCCTAGCTGTGCGACCTTGGACAAATCACTTAACCTGTCTGCCTCAGTTTCCTTGTGAAATGGGAATAAAAGCACCTACCTCCCAGAGTCAATGTGAGGATAAAATGAGTATTTTTGGATTTTTTAACCCTTAAAGCACTATATAAATACTACCTAATATTATTCTTATTTTCCTCTAAGGTTTAGCTGATCTTTTGTTTGGCCCATGCAAGACCGAGCAGAAGAAATAGGTTCATTTCATCTCTCCACTTCACTCCCGCTAACAATACAGCATCCTTACCCAATTTATAAAAATGTCTCCTCCCCATCGTACAAATGAGAAAATGGGTCCACGACTCTGCTGAGTGAAAGAGTCTAGCCCCAGACCTCTAGGTCTGCTCAAGTCCCCACCAAGTTAGAGCTTTGTGTGGGGGCAGGGGCACTTCTTACTTTGAGTGGAGGAACAGCATTTGTTGCC